CTATCTTCTGGTCTTTATGGACTATGCCACTAGGTATCCGGAAGCCATCCCCCTCTGTAACATAAAAACACAAGAGAAGCCAATGTTGGATCAGGCCAATGGCCCATCCAGTCCCACACCCTGTCACACAGTGGCCAAAAATACCAGGTGCTATCAGGAGGGCCAGCAGTGGGGCCAGGACACTAGGAGCTGTCCCATGGTTGCGCCCCCCCAAGCACCAAGAATACAGAGCATCACTTGCCCCAGAGTTCCTCTCTGTACCTTTTGTCCCTGCAACCAGGCTACATCACCCTAGCTGCACACCACATACAGACTCGGCTGGGGAAAGTGGTGCGGGTTCCATGGAACCCGTTCCCTCGGAAGCAGTAGGCAGTCATGGACCAGGATGTGAAGGATATGCTCCCACTAGACATGATAGAGCCCTCCTGAAGTGCCTTGGGGAGCCCCATCATGCTTTTACTCAAGCTTGATGGCAGCATCCACTTCTGCGTCAACTACTGTGAGGGCAACTAAATTGCGCAATTTGACACCTACCCTATGCCCCAGGCCAACCTCCTGATTGACCAGCTGGGGACGGCCCAGTACCTGACCGCTCTGGACCTGACAATAGGGTACTGGCAGGTCGCCATGAACCCAGCGGGCCAGGGGATGGCCTTCGCAACCCCCCAGGGCCTTTTCCAGTTCCACTGGGTGCCATTCAGGTGGCTGCAGCCACCTTCCAGCAATTGTTGGATCAGGAACTGGCCCAATGCCAGGGGTTCTCCCTGGCATACATTGACAACATCATCGTCTGTAGGCCCGACTGGCCCACATACATGCAGCACCTGTGATAGGTCCTCCAGGCTTTGAAGGCCACCAGGTTAAGAGCTAACCCCAAGAAGAGCAACATTTCAGGGAACTCAAGTACCTGGGCTTTTTCATTGGCTGGGAGCAGCTAAGGCTCCTGCCCAACAAGGTTATCACCTTGGAGCAAAGTCCCCGCCCTGCCACTAAATGGCAACTGAAATGCTTCCTGGACCTCATAGGGTACTACAGGAAGTTTATCCCGCATTTCACCATGATTGCCAGCCTACTGACAGACAGCTTGAAAAAAGACCAACCACCCTTCATTGGACCCCCAACATGCCAGAAGCATGCAACACTCTCCAAACTACCTTGTCCTGGGGCCCAGTCCTCTGCAATCCAGACTTCTCCTACCCCTTCCTAGTAGAGGTCGACGTTTCTGACACGGGGTTGGGAGCAGTATTGTTGCAGGAGATGGAGGGGCAGGAGCACCCAGTCTTATTCATAAGTCACAAATTACAACCAGCTGAGTGAAAATAGGCAACAATCATGAAGGAGGCACTAGCGGTTGGCACTTTGCAGTACTACCTCACTGTTTACCCTTGTTTTTTTTTATATAAAGGTTTTATTGGCTCCCCTAAAAAGGGGAGGTATTTCGCTTAAAAGAAAAAAGGGAGGGGTAGACAGTGGGAGAAAGAGAAAGCTGAGTGATATATAAACTGGTAAATTAAACTGTTAGTAATGTCCAATTAATCTTCTTGGGCTTCTTCTGTGTGTTGCCAAACTTCTTTTCTTAGTCCTGTTACATGTATTCTCTGTTAGTATGTTAGTAATGTTCCTTTGAGATTCTGTTAATAAAAAGGGTCTCTTCTGTGCACATCCGGAACCGCTTCTTTGCGTGCTGGGTATTTTTACTATCGCTGACGTGGAGGAGCTTCCTCTGTTGTCTCCGTTGTCTTCTCCTTCCGGCTTGTTAGATCCTCCTTCGGGTTGTTGTTAATACGCTCAGTTCATGTACTATAAATCCTCTTCCTTTCATGCCCCGGAGGTCCCCATTTTCGAGAATGGTATCAATTTCATTTTCGCTTTTATATTCGCTCCCAGACTCTCTATGGGTCCTCCTCGCAATTGTTGACTAATAAGCGCTTACAGGCACTTCTCGCTGTCACAATTCCAACTTATCTTTTTTGCAAAACTCCCGTCGGATTCACAGCCATAAACAGTCCAAACATTCAACAGCCGGCTCTTGCACACAAACAAACGCCCAGACGGAAGTCCCTCCCTCCTTCTCCGCTCGCTTTTGCCCAGCTCCGACATCTTTTCTTTTTTGTTTACTTTTAGAAAGTTCTTAAAATGTGCTCCAGAGAGACAAGCTTCTCGCTTTCAAATACATCAAAGGAAAACATCACTGTCCGCTCAATTCATCCCCCCCCCTCCTTTTCTTTTGCGCTTGTATAGATGGAGGATTAACCTCTTCGCCTTTTTCGCTGGGAGGGGGGGGAAACAATTTTCAGTTCTTTTTTCTGCATTTTGACAACTCACAGTTAAGCCGATCTTTTCTTTTTCTTTTCCACTTTTGCGGATGGTCGCTTTATCACTCAGTGACGTCTGGTGGCTCCGCTAAACCCCGTTCGGGGTCGCTCACGCAGCAAGGTCCATTGGGGCAGGGCATGGCGGGAGCCCCGCTCTCCGACCTCTCGGTCGAAAGAGCGACTCCCCCCTAGTGCGCCCTAAAGCGCCCCGGATCCGAGCTCCTCTCTTCTGAGGGGCTCGTTCGGGTCTCCGCTCGCGCGGATTCCCTCCTCCACCGCGGGCGGGCGAGGCACCCTCGGGAGCGACCCGAGGAAGCGTCCGCCATGCGCGGGAGCCAGACCGGAAGCCATCACTGTTTACCCTTGTAATGGACCTCACACCCCTGATGTGGATGACATGGATGAAAGACCATAACCAGTACATCCTACGGTGGTACCTCTCCCTTCTACCTTTCAGCTTCACCATCCAGCATCACTCCGGCCAGGCCCACCTCAGCACCAACTACATATCTTGGATCTTTGAGGACACTACCCCAAGTAACCCCCCAAGGGGTGTGTCTGGAATTGGAGGCGTTGGGCCTGATGACCTTGCCCTGACTAGGGTCAGCATTGTGGCCCGCCACCCCTGAGCCAGGAGAAAGGTCTTGCCCCCCCTTCAGAGCCCGGGCAGCAGAAGAAAAGCTTACTCAGCATCACCCAGGGGTCCCAGTGTGGAGTGGACCTGTTGAGGATGGCCCCTGGGAGTGGCCAGCAGGCATGTGGCCACCTCCAGCACCACTGGCCTCTTGCACTCCTGGGTGAGCCTAGGAGACGCTGAGTGGGAGGCAGAGCAGAGGGACCTGGAATAAGGCCTCCCTCCTAAGGGGCCAAACAGGGCTGTCCTGGCCCAATGGGCAGGGCTGGGAACCACTGTGAGTTGGGGAGGGTGGAGCCAGCATGGAGGGGAAGGAGGATATAAGGAAGCTCCAAATGATGGACTGGGGAGGAAAAATGGTGGCTGACTTGTAGGCTGCGCACAAGGTGAGGCAGTTTACAAGGGAGGAGGAGGAGATGGGTAGCCTGAACCCTCTCCCCTCCCATTCTGACACCCCGAGGAGTCTTCCAGCAGGGGACTGGCAATACAGCAGAAAGCAGCGTCCCAAAGTGGGCCCCAGTGGCGCATGACATTTGACGGGTAGCTCTGTTTTTGAAAAAATAAACCATAGTATTACCACTTATGAAAACCAAAGTTGCTTTGTGGCAGTTCCTACACTCTCTGGCATGTGAATGTGAAATTGGAGGTTGAAGGCATGCAGCTCTTTTTGTAATGCAGTGGCAGGGATCAGTCACCAACCTTATGTGCTTCCCATTGTGTCCAGTAAGAGCCAGCGGTGGTTTTTTTGTTTTGTTTTTTAAAAAGCCTCCTGCATAGTAGCCCTGACCTGAATAGCCCAGGCTACCCCAATCCCGTCAGATCTCGGAAGCTAAGCAGGGTTGGCCTGGGCTAGTATTTGGAAGGCCAAATTCCAAGGAATACCAAGGGCGTGACACTGAGGCAGGCAATGGCAAACCACCTCTGAAAAGTCCCTTGCCTTCAAAACAAGTCTAGCTCACCACCTAGTGGTGCATAATGCTAAAAGAGCTAGAACTCTTGGCTGCCAGACAATCTTAGGATCTCCTGGCTATTCTACACACTATGCCACATGATAATTAATTCCTACATAGTATACACGGTAGTGAACTTCCATAATCAGTGCTGGGAATTCTCTTCAAAGGTGATAAACCTTTAAGATAGATATATGTGATCTCCCTTCCATAAAAATATGTCAGATCCTGCTGTATGTCACTGGAAGGCACTGATAGATGTGGATTGTTCTCTCTTTCTCCTAAACCCATTAAAGTTGATTCCCAAGGTCACAGGACTCCTATAGCCATGCAGGCCGGGAAGGGGATGAATTTGCCATTTCTGCCACTTCTGCCAGTGGCACTGCACTGATGGAAGAGAAGGTAGTGAAGGATATCACCCTTCCCCTGCTGAGCCTCCTCCCACCCTGCATTGCTGTTAATCCACAGGGATCCTGTGACCTGGGAATAATTTTCCTGGGTGAGGGAGGGGGAACACTGGAAAGATTCATCTGTGGATTGACCCAAACCAGTAGATTACCAGTTACTAAAATTGGTTATGTCTTAATAAAACAGTCTAGTGGCAATTTAGAGAATAAATATATTCCAGCCTAAGTTTTTGAGAGTCAGAACTCAGTTCATCAGATGTACCCCTAAGGACAGTACATTTATATTAGCAAGGTTTGTAATTAAGTGTGCTCCTGAATTCATCGGCTCTAACCAATTTTTGCCATCGTGTGAATTTACCCAGTTCCTTCCCCCATTTCTTAGAGTACTCATTTTATGTTTAGCAATATAATCATGAAAAGGTAGTAAATCTGTTTCCATTGGGCGAACTGTCCGTGTCATCTTTCCTCCCAAGTTAATGATTTTGTGGCTTGGTTGCAAATTTCTAGAGAAATGATTCCCATCAGAAATGAGAAGTTAACTGCTGTGGGATTTCAGCAAAGATTTTGAGGGGAGTCTTGAAACAGTTCAGTGGATTATTTATGTCTGGTGAAAATGTTTTCCATGAGTGTACATATCCAAATGTACCTCTTCCTTGAAGCTTGAATTGAGCATAATTTTCAACATTCTGCACAGGTGGTTTTTTGGGAAGATTCCCCGAGCAAAGGCAGAGGAGATGTTGGGCAAACAGAGACATGATGGTGCCTTCCTCATCCGGGAGAGTGAGAGCGCTCCGGGAGACTTCTCCCTTTCTGTCAAGTGAGTACTGCATGTATAGCAGGTTAATGTATATTCTGCACCCAACCCCAGGGAATTAGGCACATTTGAATTGCTTCCCTAAGTGATACAATTTTTGCCTGAAAACCTGGGGCTTTTTTCTGCCGCAGTATGTGGAATTTGGGGGTGCAGATTTTAGCTGTAATTTGATCGGCATTTGAAAGTAGGACATCTTACATGATCATCAAGCAGTGATATGGGTTGCTTACTCATTGACTTGGTCACCCCTCTTTTCCCCTAACTACTTCTAAAAGCTCTAGCTTTTTAGGTTTCTGCTCTCACTGCTGGGACGTGAGGTTGAAAATGCCTTTCAAAAGTACAGTCAATTAAATTGTTATCCTTTCTGGGGAAATTGGCATCTTGATCTCAGTGTTCTACATTTTTAACCACTTACATGAATAAAAAGTTGATTCTAATGTGTTAACTTTTTAAAAATCTTCCTGAGTGCCTCTCTGGTTCAAAGTATTCTATTTTGGGTTTAGTTGCATGAAACACTTATCTTAGAAGAAGCCTGCAGCAATCGATATGTTGCCAAAAATGGTACAGTGGCCACAGAGTTCCATTCAGAAAGTTTGGTTACAAGTTTGGCAGTATACAAACAGAAAAATGGATATTCTCATCCTGCCAAGCTCTACCATGCTATCTCACAAAGACTCTCAAATGTTATTACCTTTAAATGTGGGAGGTTTTAGTGTGTTGTTTTAAACTGCAAGTAGTCCTTCAGCAGGTATGTTTTGTTCTCAAGCTCCCCAAGAGAATTCACTCTTAAACAGTAATAGGTAAATCTTTCATAGAAATTATAATACCAGAAGTTGGGAATAATGAGAAACGAGACCTTCATCTCCAACAGCTTATGTCCTTACCACAAAACCAGTCATGTATTTGTGAGTATTGAGCACCTTTGACACATACTCACTTCTGGTAGCAAAGTACCGCCCGCTGCTGTTCTAGAGTCCCTTAAATTCATATTTGCATGCCTCTGGTTCAGGTAATATTAACCAGGTATAACATACAAGCTGATGTATGCACAAGACCGCACCTGTTGTGTACCCAGCCTTAAAAGCTGGAGATGATGCTAAGTTTGATTATGTCCTTCCCTTTCCCTCTTAGATTTGGAAATGATGTACAACACTTCAAGGTGCTTCGAGATGGGGCTGGCAAGTATTTCCTCTGGGTGGTAAAGTTCAATTCTCTGAATGAGTTAGTAGACTATCACAGATCAACTTCTGTCTCCAGGAATCAGCAGATATTCCTCCGGGACATTGAGCAGGTGCCTCAGGTGAGGGAGAACAAGTTATTGCATTTATATCCCGCGTTTCTTCTATCATAAAACTCAAGGCTTTCCTAGTAAGGGGAGAAGCTAAATTCAGGTCTTCTGTATTTGTGTGTGTGTGTGTGTGTGTTCAGGCTTTTGAGCTGTTTTCTTTAGGATGTTAGGTTTTACCATAACTTTCTATTTGAACTATTTACAAGGACCTCCTTAGTAGAATTCTGGGGCTGAATAGGAGGACAATTCTGAGCCTGTATATCATTACACATCCCCTCCCGTGTGTCAAGCCTTTGAACAGAAGCATGATTTTGACCTTGTGAATGTTCCCTTCCATACATTAGGCCTTTGGAAAACAGAGGGGGAAAGATTCTTATTGATCTGGTGGATTTGACCATGGCCCTTCTCAGGGGAGATTAAAGGTTTCCTTATAGGATCTTGGAAAAATTTCAGTGGGGCTATGCCATATTCCCTGGAATAGCCCCACTGTGACAAAAGTAACAAAGGTATCCTAGAGGAAAAGAAAGTTAATAAAACTCTATCATGATCCATATATCTGCTCCACAGCCTTAAGAACAATATGAGATAGATGTAATAAATGTGCAAGATGTCTCATCTGTTTGCATTAAGAGTGCAGTTTTTTAGGAAACTCATATTCTGGTTTATATAACACCACCCAAAAGTTCTGGTAGCTCCTCTTGCTGGTTTCAGGGAGCTTCAAGTAAAATGTGTAAACCAGGTTATTCTGGCCTGTATATTTCTAGTCTAAGCACTATATTAAATTCTAATGGTCATTTTCTGGAAAGGTCAGATACAAGATGGGTAAAGATGGAACTTGTCACTCATTAATTTCTCATTTCTGTAGAAGGGATGGGCACTTTTGAGAAACAAGAGAACAAAGGCTAGCATTTGAATTTGGGTTTTTATGTGTTCTTTTGCAATGGCCTTGTTGTATCCCTTTTTGAATCTGTACAGAGGTGGAACATGTGGCTGGCTTGTGGGATCAAATACAGAGTGATTAAATAAAGGATCAGGAAATCAGAACAGAGTGTTTAGCTTGGAACTAGCAAGTAACACTTACTACAGCCGACATGCAAGTTGCAATGATGTGATGCAAAATACTACAGAGCTCCTATTTTTATTGACATAACTAGGACCAATACAACAGGCCCTAGAAGGAAGTGAGACCTCCGTGCGTCCCCGCCCTGGACGCACCACTGAGACCCTAGGGCGGTAGCATGGGTCACCATGGTGTCCCTGCACAGGGGCAGGCATCATCTGGGCTGGCTCCACCGGTGGGCGGCACGGCGGCATCCACGTAGGCTGTGGGCCGCCGATGGCCAGTGCGGCGGGAGGAGCAGTGTCTGTGTGAGGGCTCTCTGCCCGGCGTGACGGTTGGGCTGCACATCGCCTGGGAGGAGAGTGAGGGCCGGCCCCACGCTGTTGCCCCGCTGGTGAGACCCCAGGCTTGAGGGGCGATGGAACGAGATGCCACTGTCTCCCTGGCCGGCCGGGGGCCGGCAGCATCAGGGCCGGCAGCATCAGGGCCAGGCAGCGAGGTGGATTGGGCCTCAGGCGTCAACAACAGGCGCAGCGGCGGGAGGATCAGCCTCTGCTCCCCGGTTTCTCCCCCCTCCGCAGACTGCAGTGTGGAGGGGAGAAGGAACAGGCCACCACTGCCTCCCTGTCCAGGTGGATGGCGGCATCCCACGGGCTTCCTCCACCGCTGGCAGGCCGGTGGCCCCTGCCCAGTGGCAGGGTGTCCAGCTACCTGGAGTCGGCCTCAGCCAACAATGAACGCTGAGATGCCAGCAGGATTGGCCTGGGGCTCGGACGCATCTGGCCGCCTGAACGTCCATCCCGCCCAGCGGCTCCTCGCAGACTGAGGGCGAGACGCCACCTGGCAGGTCTGTGGGCGGGACTGAGGTGACGGAGGGAGGCAATGCGGCCAGGGGATTGGCCCCCTCCTGAGTGACAGATCAGGGGCCCAAAGGCTGTGGAAGCGTGTCAAACGTTCAGGAGAGAGTCACACCAAAACTCTTTTATATATAAGGAGAGATAAGCATCAGGAGAGGAAGAGTAAGGTAGATGTAGATGACAGAGATGCCTAGTGAAAGCCCGTCAAATTTGAGTTTACGTGAGTCTGCAATATGCCATATAATGTCTGCTCCCTGTGGAGATGTTAATGGATGAAACTGGTACATTTTGAATATTTCATTTATGCACATATTATTAGAAACTAAATAAGCTTTTGCTGTCTCATTTCCAGACACTGAATAAAGATTTATTTAATGTTTGAACATGTCATCTTGAGCCTAGTATGGAAAAAATGTGGGATATCAACAGCATAAATATCACCCATCTTTTGTTTTCTTTACAGCAACCCACGTACGTTCAGGCTCTTTTTGATTTTGACCCCCAAGAGGAAGGTGAGCTGGGCTTCCGCCGTGGAGACTTTATCCAGGTCCTTGACAATTCTGACCCCAACTGGTGGAAGGGAGCCTGCCATGGACAAACAGGCATGTTTCCGCGCAACTACGTGACCCCGGTGAACCAGAACATCTAGAGCAGCTTATTAAAGATTATTTAAGGAACACGAGAAACAATAAAGTACCTATTCAGAGTCTAACTGCAGCCAGTGATCTCCAGTCATCAGGCCATAAAAATCTGACTCACCCCTCTGCACGAGGGGGGAACACTTTTTTTACTCAGTATGGAACTTTGTGGGGGAGGGGACAGGAGAAGGGTCCAATGTATGCGCCAAAACTTACCTTTTAAATTCAACAGATATTAACAGGTTTCTTCATTGTTCCTGGATGGCCCCTTTTGTGCACTCTTCCTTTCTCCTCCAACACTGAGACATCAGTTGATCAGTGCATGAAGTTTTAATGCTATATGAAGTCTGTTCTGTGCCGTTCAAGGGAGAGGAGGAACTCTGCTGGTGTTTGCTGTTTCCGTAAACAGTCTTCATGAAGGGACTAAGAGGGGAACCAAACCCACAACCCAGCTTTTTAATGATAAAACACTCTCTCACACACATCCCATTCTGCTTTTTGCCTTTGATCGCCAATGTTTTGCCTGGGAAAGATAGGTCGTACATTTTTTCTCCATCTGGAATTGCAACAACCCTTGGGCAGAGGGAAGATGATGGGCTTTCTTCTCCCCATGGGCTGCAAGGATGTTCAGAAAAGTTCTAAACTGCAGCCAGATCATGTTCACATTAAGGACTGCTGTTTTTTTCATGTGTGTGGTTGAGCACATTCTTGAATTATTTTTTCCATTAGTGCCTTTTCCTTAGGTTAAAAGGACAGTCCAGAGCTTTTCATATCTCCTCTCCCTCCACCCCCTGCTTTTGTGTAAATATTTTAGGAGTTTAATGGCTAGGAGGGTAGTTCTATTAAATACAAGCACCTCCATAGACCAGATTGAACTTTTAAAGCTTGTATAAGCATCTGATATTCTTCGTTACCGATTAAATGTTCTCCAAAAGATGGAGTTAGGAGGACCTGTAGCCAGGATCCTTATGCAAGAGAAGCAAGAAGATCATAACATTACGATTAGGCTATATTATATGAAGCTACATTAGGATGGAGAGTGAATATTCTAGAATGACCTGTGAAATACGTATTTTTCCCAAATACTGCAGGGAAGCCTCAAGAAATTGTGCTTAATCACATCTAGTGAATGTTTAAACATGATGCTCAGTGATTTGTTGTTCGGTTCCCTTTTACAGCTGGCTGGGGCACAAATGCAATCATTGACTGTTCCTCGAAAAGAAAGTTGGTATCTTTGTACTCCCGCAGTTCCCTGCCTCCTCATGTCAGTGTTATCGTAGGTGGAGGAGTCAGTGTTGTGCTCCCGATTCACAGCAGGCTGTGTAGGGACTGTATTTCAGGCCTGTACCCCCACCCCCCACAACAACACTCACTGATGCTATCTATGGCTTCATCAGTGCTTTGAAGTAAGATGGGAGAGAGCAAGCTTGCAGAGCTCTTTGTGCCAATAATCATCTTATTTCCTGTTGCTGTGCCACACAGCTGAAACTCTCATCCCAATGACACTGAACCCCAAAGCCTCCACAGAGATTTCCTGTTCCGCCCAAATGGAGACATTCCTGTGTTGGTGGGTGCCTTTTTTATACGAAGTATTACAAATGTGTTATTCCAGAGATGGACTCTGCCTTACACTTGTTTCTCCAGCAGATGAAAGAGAGCTATCCCGTAGCGTGTTAATTCTCCCCCTTTCCTTGCTGTCTTTTTCTCTCCCCCACTTCTTTCTTTCTAAAATGATTGGAAAATGAATCTATGGCATTCTACACTTGGACCATTTGATTGTTTTCTTATCTTGGAATTGGTGTATATCATGCAGCCTTGCAGACATAATGTCTTGTGTGTATATATATATTAAAACAAATTCAGTGTTTAAATAAAAAGGCCTATGTACGTAATCCTTTAACTCTGCAGCAGCCATTTGGTAGATAGTAATTAACTGTGAATAATAAATATCTAACAAATTCTTCACTTGAATATTGGTGTCTTTTTCTATTTGATCATTAGCAAGAATTTTTAATATAGAGGTGATATACCTTTAGACATTCTTCATCCAGCCAACGTATCTCTTTGGGATTTCTAGCGTACAAATAGGATTGGTAATGGCTAAAAACTTGAAATCTCCCAGCATTATTTTCCCCAAGCCATCCACTGCTACGATCAGATCAACCTTGCTTCACTTCCAGAAGATGCTCAGGTTCCAGTCAGCAGAAAGCTTTTCAAATAATGAATTCCAGGCTGAAGAAAGTTAGAATGCATCTAGACCAGAGGTGTCAAACTCATTTCTTATGAGGGCTGGATCTGCCATAAATGTCACTTTTTCAGGCTGGGCCACAGTTACCATAAAATGTAACACAAGGTACTGGATATATAAACTTTATAAAGATGATTTCAGAGATTGGATTAAGTGTGATACGCAGAAGGGGTAGTAGGCATGGAGATATCAGCATTGGCAATCAGACAGGAAACCTAGGTCTCAATTTGGTACAGCAGGATTCAGTCCAGGAGGATGCAAAGAATAAATGGAAATAAGCCTGAAGAAGTGGGCAGTGACTCATGAAAGCGCATACCTTACCACAAATTTTGTTAGTCTTTAAGGAATACTGGACTCTTAGTCTTTAAGAACATAAGAGAAGTCAATGTTGGATCAGGCCAATGGCCCATCCAGTCCGACACTCTGTCACACAGTGGCCAAAAATACCAGGTGCCATCACGAGGTCCAGCAGTGGGGCCAGGACACTAGAAGCCCTCCCAACTGTTGCCCCCACCCCAGCACCAAGAATACAGAGCATCACTTGCCCCAGACCGAGAGTTCCTATCTATACCTTGTGGCTAATAGCCACTGATGGACCTCTGCTCCATATGTTTATCAAATTCCCTCTTGAAGCCATCCATGCTTGTAGCCGCCACCACCTCCTGTGGCAGTGAATTCCATGTGTTACTCATTCTTTGGGTGAAGAAGTACTTCCTTTTATCCGTTCTAACCCGACTGCTCATTAATTTCATTGAGTGCCCACGAGTTCTTGTATTGTGAAAAAGGGAGAAAAGTACTTCTTTCTCTACCTGCTCTATCCCATTTGTAATCTTGTAAACCTCTATCATGTCACCCCTCAGCCGTCGTTTATCCAAGATAAAGCAGCCCAAGCTCTTTAACCTTTCTTCATAGGGAAAGCGTTCCAACCCTTTTACCATTCTAGTTGCCCATTTCTGCACCTTTTCCAGTGCTATAATATCCCTTCTACTGCTATTAGAAACCACAGCATTTAAAAAACCAGTGGGGGAACATTTTAACCTTCCTGGACATTCAGTTGCTGACCTAAGAGTAGCAGTTCTCCTGCAAAGGAATTTCAAAGGAAGATTAGGAAGAGAGACTGCTGAATTGCAACTGATACTGAAGTTCAGGACAATGCATCCTCCTGGACCGGACTGAGACCTAGGTTACTTCTCTCATTACCAATCCCTGCTATTCTCATTTGGCGTCCGAAATAACTTCACTCTCCAAGATATAATGGTAGATGGACTCACATTCTAATTGTATATGAAGAAGTGAGCAGTGACTCATAAGAGCTCCTACCCTGCCACTAATTTTGTTAGTCATTAAGGTGCTACTGGGCTCTTGTTCCCTTTCACAGAATGCAAGCTGTATTGTTAGTTTTCCTCCCCCCCCCCCAGAACTGGAAAGAGGGATCTCTCCAAGTGTCATGGGACTCCCTCTCTTAAAAAAGCCATCTCTGGACCTGGCCGAATTGGCGAACTATCGGCCGGTTTCCAACTTGCCCTATTTGGGCAAGTTAATTGAGAGGGCAGTGACGTTACAGTTACAGGGCTTCATGGATGACACTTCCATGTTAGATCCCTTCCAGTCCAGCTTTCGCCCAAGACATGGGACGGAGACAGCACTGGTCGCTCTTACTGACGACCTCCGGAGGCATCTGGATCAGGGCGGTTCGGCAGTGCTGTTGCTGTTGGACCTGTCGGCTGCGTTAGACATGGTCGACCACCAGCTACTGCTTCACCACCTCACCGACATGGGAATTTAGGGGCTTGCCTGGCAGTGGCTTGCTTCCTTTCTCCAAGGTCGGGGACAAAGTGTGGCACTAGGGGAACAGCAGTCCATGAGGCACCCGCTGGAGTGCGGTGTGCCTCAGGGGGCTATGATGTCCCCGATGCTGTTCAATATCTACATGTGCCCCCTTGCCCAGATTGCCCGGAGGCATGGGCTGGGGTGCCATCAGTACGCTGACGACACCCAGCTCTATCTGATGTTGGGCGGCCAGTCAGACTCTAGTCCGGAAGATCTGAACCGGGCATTACAAGCCGTGGCTGGTTGGCTTAGACTGAGCCGGCTGAAGCTGAACCCGACAAAGACGGAGGTCCTGTACATGAGTTGGAGTGGGCTGGGAGGAGGGACCCGACTCCCGATCTTCGGTGGGGCGCCATTGGTGCCAGCACCAGAGGTTAGGAGTCTGGGAGTGCTCCTGGATTCCTCCTTAACAATGGAGGCCCAGGTGGCAGCCACTGCCAGGTTGGCCTTTTACCATCTTCGGCTGATCAGGCAGCTGGTTCCCTTCCTCAGCTGTGACGACCTGGCTACTGAGGTCAGGATCCCAGAAATGACTGGCCCTACCGGGCCCTAAGGATGTCAGGCTTGCCACTACTAAAGCCAGGGCCTCTTCAGTGGTGGCTCCACACTGGTGGAATGAGCTCCCAGAGAAGATCAGGGCCCTGCGGGATTTTATGCAGTTCCGCAGGGCCTGTAAGACGAAGCTCTTCCACCAGGCTTTCAACTAGGAGCCGCCGCCCCCCCCAACCACCAACGAGCCGGCCCGTAGTACTAAGATCTGGCCGCTACCACTGTGCTCCGTAAGATCATTGAGCGAAACTGTCTGGTTGTATGGTAATCTCAGCACGTCATCTTATGCATTCGATATATTAGCAGTAGCACTTTATGAGGTTTGTTTTATCTTATTGCATTGAATTTTAAATTGTTTTTATGTGAATGTACGGTCACCTATAGACCAACTATGTAAGCCACCCTGAGCCCGCTTGCGGGGTAGGGCGGGGGGTATAAATTTGATAAATAAAAATAAAATAAAAATCCTGCTGGCCCCCTACTGGTCAAGGAGAATTTGGTTCTCAGAGCTGATTCAGCTATCCGCGGTGGAACTGGCGACTCCCAACCCAACGGGACTTACTTCATCAGGGCCCCATCCTCCATCCAGACCTGGGATGGCTTCAGTTGACGGCATGGGGGCTGAAAGGCAGGACCTAGAACTGTCAGGCTTGTCTCAGGACATCACAGACGTCATGTTTCAAGCACAACATCCAGCCACAAGACGCATATACAATTACACCTGAGCCGCCTTTAACAGCTGGGCGATTGGCCAGGGCGTGGGCCTTATGAAACCATCAAATTGTGATGTCTCATAGCCTTTTTGCATGAGGGCTGGAAAAAAGGTTTATGCCCCAACACACTTAAGAGACAAGTGGCAGCCATAGCCACAGTCCTGAGCAATAGGGGGATGGGAAAGATAGCCTCAGATAAACATGTTAAGAGATATTTGAGAGGCACCATGCAATTAGCTCCCCTGCTCGAACACAGATTCCCAGACCTCCCTTTGAGCCTCTTCTTTCCTTTGAATTAAAACGGCTGTCTTGGAAGGTAATCTTTCTCTTCACAGTTACCTCGGCCAGAAGGGTCTCAGAATTAGGGGCTCTTTCAGTCCAAAGAGAGTTGTGTACCTTCCATGAGGACTCCGTGGTCTTAAGGACAGATTTTGTTCCAAAAGTACATTCTTCTTTCACCTTAATGAGCAGCTGATTTTACCCTCCGTTTGTCCACACCCTGTGCACCCAAAAGAAAAAAGTGGCATTAATTAGATGTCAGGAGGGCCCTCCATTGTTATATAAAGAGGACAGCTACATTCAGGCTCTCTGATGCCCTATTTGTTTCAGTTTGGTGTAGTGGTTAAGAGCGCGGACTCTAATCTGAGAGAACTGGGGTTGATCCTCCACTCCTCCACATGCAGCTGCTGGTGTGACCTTGGGTCAGTCACAAGTTCTTTCAGAGCTGTTCCCTCAAGGGCAGTTCTCTCAGAGCTCTCTCAGCCCCACCTACCTCACAGGGTGTCTGTAGTGGGGAGGGGAAGGGGAAGGGATTGGAAGCCGCTCTGAGACTCCTTCGGGTAGTGAAGGGTGGGGTATAAACCCAATCACTTCTTCTTCTCATATGGGACCCAGAATCTGGGGGAAAGAATATCCAAGGCTTCAATAGCTTTCTGGGTTAAAAGGTGCATATGTGAATCCTACAAGGTGCAAGGGCTTAGGGCACCACTAGGGGTAATGGCACACTCTACCAGAGCTGCTGCAACGTCAGCTGCTTTTTCCACTAGGACCCCCACTGAGGAAATCTGCCAGGTGGCAACCTGGTCTACCTTTACTACATTTATCACACTATAGAATTGACCAGCAGTCCTCCATAGGAGGAGGGTCCTCCAACAGGTATTGGAGGAGTGACTGTCTTCCTTTACCCACCCAGTCTGATCTTTGATACAGAACCAGTCTAGATGTCTTCCCCCACGGAAGGAGAATGAAACATTGTACTTACCTGAAGGTTTCTTCTCCTCAGTGGAGCGAAGGCATCCATTTTGCCCACCACTGTATTTGGTATGGAATCTTGCATTTTTTTCTTATGTTCAGATAAGGTTATCTGGTTTATTCTTGTTTGTTATTAAAGACTGTCACAGTTTATAGTACATAAGAGTGGTGTGCAGTTCCTTTTGGGGCAAGGCTATTTTATGTCTGGAAGGACACCCTCACTCTAGGTGTACACAAAACTTTGCATAGCCCTGCCTGGAGCGAGAGAAGGAGTGACCTAACCAGACTGGAGGCCTTCTCCCCACTGAAGAAACCT